GAACGTGATCTTTCAAATTGGAGGAGATGCGCTTGGAATTTTTTTTAAGCTCGGCTTATGGAACAACCGTTCTGTAACAAGCCAGCTAAGTAAGTAAAGTACATAGGCGTGGATTTTATTTTTTTTTAATAGAAACAGAGAAGTGGATTTTTTTAAAATATTTTTTCAATGTCTGCTTCAAGGCGCAGATTTGCAAGAGGTGGATTTTTTAAAATTAATTTTGCAAGGACTATTAATTTTGTTTGTAATAAATTAAATTAATTGTAACTGTCTTGAGCCTTGGTGCTTTGAACCTATTGACCCTAATGTCTACAAGTTTCCATTCCCATACTTTTATGTTTCGAATGCATAACTTTCCCATCATTTTGTAGTGAACTTCAAAAGAATTTTCAATTTACTGCCATTAAGAGAAATTTACATATCAAAAGAAGAAAATATACAAAAAGTCATTGACCAGGATATAAGAATGTACATACCGGAGTGACACAGAAGTTCGAGTTCATGATGCACTGTGGGCTAGAATTATTAATTATTAAAAAATAATAATATCATGGAGTGATATGTGAAGAATAAAAATTAAAACTTCAGTTTCCAGCAATAAAAATTAAATTGTGATAAATATAAGGAAGCGCCATCTATTGCCTGATCATTTTCAAACATGATCAATCACTTGGGCAGGTAAGTGTATATAAAAATATTATAATTTTTATTAATAAGAGTATATTTTTAAAATTAATAATTTATATTATTTTTGTTGTTGTTATGGTTGTTATTGATTTCTTATTGTGTCGGCATCTCCCTCCCCATTGTTTGGGTATGGAATGTCGGTGTATGTTTGCTTGCCAACATCGATGCTGCCAAGAAAAATCAATTAAACATTTCAATAATTGTTTTTTATTAAATTTCCATAATTTCTCATTCTTCACAAAGAGAATGTGACACACTCACACTATCACACATAAAGTGTCATTGGGTGTCAACATAATTGATCAGAGTAACCAGGGCTAATTTCAAATATTGACAGCTTTATATTGTCAAAAACAAAATTGTAAAGGGACCTACGGGCCCTTGTCTCAGATACCTCAATTATGATTAATGTGAAAAATATGTAAATACCGTTCGATAATAATTCTTATTGAGGAATACTAATTGGTAACTATTATTTATTATGCATGTGCAAACATGCAGTGTTGTGCAAAAATTTATTCCTATTATCTGTAAGATCTATAAAAAAGTGGATCAAAAGTGGATCGTTCGGATATTTTCTGGAGATTTCTTTTTATTTTAATTGAACTCAACAATTCCCATTATAGTTAAAGCGCTCTAAGAAAGAAGCCAGTCAGCGGGGTAGTATAATCGGACGGCGCCTCCCATATACGAGTATATTCCTTTGGCCTGCTAAATTTTTACCGATATTTATCAAAACAGCCATGTTTCGTTACGTTGAGATAAGCATTGAGACCTCCACTTATCCCTTAACAAACCAGAACTCAAAATGTATGCGACATTTTGTGACAATAGGATCAAAACGTAAAGTATCGACCAAACAATTTCAGATTTATGCTCGTTGGAATTATTTTGCTGTTTTTTGTTTGCTGCATTAAGTTGTGTGTTACAGGGTGTTAAAAATCGAAGTGAACAAAGAGAAAAGTCGGTACATTTTACTGTTTTTCTTTCACAAAGGCGAAAATGCAAGCCAATCGGCTAAAGTTATGAATGGTGTTTATGGTTTCGATACCAATTATGTGCAATTTTGGAATCGACCATAAACTGTTTTAAACCCTTTACAATTGACCAGAAAAGGCCAGAATTGGCCAACATGAGAGGTGTCGTGTTTCACCAGGACAACACTAGGCCACACCCATCTAGAGGGAATCGCCAGAAATTTCCGGAGCTTGGTTGGCAAGTTTTAATATATCCGCCATACAGTCCGGACTTGGCACAAGCGATTATCAACTTTTTCTTGCATTGCAAAATTTCTTTAATGATAAAAAAATTGGTATCTAGGGAGGATTGTGAAAATCTACTACTAGAGTTTTTTTTTTTGGAAATAGAGAGTAGAAAGGCATTATGAAGTTACCTTTAAAATGGCAACAAATCATACACAAAACGGTGCATATTTGGCTCAAATCGGACATCCCGAAGCATGTTAAATAAAGTTCTATAGTTTATATAAAAACAATAGATTTCTTTTTCCCCAACCAAATATTTGATTTATTTTCAAAATACAATATTTATGAATTTTCAGAATAAAATTGAAAACTAGTGAGCGGAGTAGTATAGTCGGTCGGGACCGACCATATGATACCCTACACAACATCCACGAAAATCTAACTTTCCGTGGTTCTATATTCTGAAATTGGGCAATATTTCGCGATATTTGCACCCTCTGGAACTAATACAGGTCAACAAATATTACTAATATTCAGTAGAGGAGGGCTGTACTTGTCCAAATTCCCTTTACCGTGGTTATGTTGTGATATTGGGCTTCCAATTGTAGCCTATAGATAAACTCGAAAAAACACAAATAATTACGTTTTCGGTCCACTTCATCCCAATATTATTATCTGTCCTTGACCATATCTGGATCCTCATGGAAAATTTCAAGGCGATCAGTGCTACATTTCCGACCTCTAGTGTGGTAATGGGTTACAAAATAATATATGAATACGTAAGCACCTGTAAATATTTAAGTGATTCTCCCACATCGGAGTACATACGACAATATAATTGATATCAATATAAAGGTCAACCACTCCTCTTGGATATACTATCAACTTCTTGGTTCTATGTCCTTCAGGGGTAAATATATACGCTTTAGAATACAAATTTTGTATTTTTTCACACAAAAGTCACAAAAGCCTTATGTAGAGGAAATCCATAAAAAACGCTAAAAATAGCGTTGAAAATTGCAATTTTTCATTTCAAAAGGATTTTCTGCTTCAAATTTTCCCATTAGGAAACTGAAGTAAATTGTAAACCAAACGGCAACGAACTTCTGTTGCGATTTCTTTGATTTGAAAATGTATAATTGCTAAGGAGCGATATATAATTGAAGTTATCATTCATTGAAGTACCAATTCATGGTTGTAAAACAAATTCAGAAAAAAAATTAAACGCCGATACATACATAATGAACATAGGAAAAATAAAAGTCAAACATTTCAAAATTATGTAGAATTTTTTTCCTGTTTCCCTATATTTCCCTGTATATTTTAAAGCTCAAATTGTGTTATCGTATGCTTACTTCAAATATATGGTCTGTTCCAGTATTTTTTTAATAGTAAAGCTAGTAAAAAGGAAGCATTTCAAAAATCGTTCTCTGAGTACAAAATAATTTGAAAAGTTCGGGAACGCAAATCTACTTCTACTTCAAAATCAACGCAACAGCCAATCAGAAGTAGGTATTTCTGTTTACCATTTTTACTTGGCCTAATTTCTCGATTAAAAAGTTTACAAAGAGAATGCCATTTGGTTTTGTGCTCTCTTAAATTCGATTCAATGTTTTACCATTTTTGTGGATTCAGGAACGGTTTTCGAGTAAAAACTTGCAAAACTTGTAAAAATAGTAGATTCATTAGGTTCTGGAACGGAACTATAATGTGTACAAAATGTTAAAAAAATTTCCCCTTGAAAAAATTTAAATTTAACCACTTTTTAGTGTAAATCCCCTACTGATTTCTTTTATATTTTGACCTTAATTTTTATAGAAACTGACATTGCAAAAATATTTAATTTTTTGGTTTTGAACACTCGGGACTCAATTTTGCCATTGGGATCATCTTTGAAAAATACGTATTGAAAAATTTAGATTTTAGGGATTATTAAAATTCAGGTTTAATTCAGTTGAGTATTCAAAATAAACTCCTTAGAGTTAACGGATCTGAAACGTATGGCCTGTTTTTCTAAAATAAAGGTTGTGTTTGGTTTTAATATTTAATTTTTTAAATTAAATTCCATTCTTCTATTCCATTCTTATAAAAATAATCAATATAAATTCATAATCCCAATCAATTTTTTTTTTGCATTGTCAAAAGTATTTTCTTCCTACATTTTTTGTTTATAAAATATCCCCATACAACGTCCTTAGCAGTGTTGCAATTACTGAGCATATCAAGCCTATAATTTTTTATAAAATCATTTTTTACTAAAACATAAAATTAAACTGTCAAAATGTGATCCCATCCCCTAGCTGGCATCCACAAGCAAACATTACACTTTCCTTAAAAAAGATCCACTCACAATACACACAACATAAGGATAGGATAAGTATATATCATTATTTGACAGTTCAAGGTCCCAGCGAAACACAAAAGGTTAGAAAAGTTCGAAAAAACAACAACAACAACAAAACGACAACTTTAAATTATTAGTTCAAACTGTACTAAAAACCCAAACGCATATTCAAACACATATCCTGTTTTAAATATTCAATTAAGTTTTTTCGTTTCATTTTTTTTTCTTCAATTATGGGAACTCGAACAGATTGCCTTCTTAAAAGTTGTAAATAAACGGAAATTATTGTTAAATGGCTTGGTAGGGCATGATTGTGAGGGTGACAATATTAAAATATTGATTACATTTATATCACATCTTCCAACCCTCACCTCAAAAATTCATACTCCCACCCTCCTTCCTACACCATTAAAACCGCTAATGAAAAGTGAAAGGTAATCTTTAATATTTGAATGAAAGGAAAATCCAAAAAAATAGAAAATAAATCCAGTAAAGCAACCGTCCAATAGTTGTGGCAATAATCGTAATCTTGTTGTGTGCGGAATAATTGTATTTAACAACTGATAACAATCAATTTATCGGGCCATAGACATTTAACAGTACAACATTTTTTTTAAATATTTTCAATAACAACAACGATAATAATAATTTGCGAGAGAGTAACTACTCCGCCAAAACAAGAAGATAAGAACTCTATTTGATTGACTGGAACTGAGCTGAAAGAAAAAATACCTATTATGGATGTCTTGGCCGGTCGGATATTCTATCAGTTAACTGGCAATAGGCTAAGAGTGAATTGTGGCATATTCTGGGGTGCTGTGTGGGCTATTTTAAAGGTAGCTACATATTGAGAGGAAGAGATAAAAGTATAAAAAAATAATATAAAAAAAATTAAAATCCAAATCCGATTACAAAATGTGGACCCAAAGTGAAAAAATCAAAGGAAATCATATTTTTAATTAATAAAAGCGCTAGCTAAGTTCGATCGGGTCTAGGAAAATATTTTTTCCTACGCCTATACAAGGCGTGGATTTTTAAAAATATTTTAAATAAAATCCGATGAAAATATGTATCGGAGCTATATCTAAATCTGAAACGATTTTCACAAAACTTAGCACACATCATTCTAGACTTAATTCAGTACACTATGCAAAATTTCGTGCAAATCGAAAATATATAGGGACTTTGGTGCACCATTTATATAAAATCGAACCTGAACCGATTTTCTTCAATTTCAATAGGTTTCGTCCTTGGACCAAATAAGTGACTTGTGCCAAATTTCATCCAAATCGGATCATAAATGCAACCTGTACTTTGTTTACAATTTAACATCTACAGACGGTCGGACGGCGGACATGCATAAATCGACAACGAAAGTGTTTCTATGCATATTCTCAAAAGGAACGTCCTGTACAAAAGTGTGGTGAAGGGTATAAAAACCTGACCATAATATTGAATAATAAATTTTACCCGTATATGAGGCCTACCCTAAAAAGTGGTCACATTTGTATAATTTTTTGTAGAATGGTTTGCTACCCATTGAGAATCCGTAATACAAAATTACAGCCAAATCGATTTGAAAAAAGATGGCCAATCTCCCCAAAATACCGAATATTTGGGAGGTACCGTTATATGTGGTAAAGTGATCCAATATTGATAATTTTTGGTTAGGAAGATTTGCTACCTATTGGTAATCCAAAATAGCAAATTACAGACGATTCGGCTGAAAATCGTGCGCCATATACCGAAAAATGTGGGGTTATCGCTATATGGGGTTACCCTGAAACGTGGACCAATTCACTGGCCCCTCAGCTCGTCTGCGGCCCTTCAGCTGGTCTGTGATAGACTCGCTGGCCCCTCAGCTCGTCTGTGATAGACTCAGTGGCCCTTCAGCTTATCTGTGATAGAATCACTGACCCTTCAGCTCGTCTGTGTTCGACTCAGTGGCCCTTCAGCTTATCTGTAATAGACTCACTGGCCTCTCAGCTTGTCTGTGATAGAATCACTGGCCCTTCAGTTCGTCTATGATAGTCTCACTGGCCCTTCAGCTCGTCTGTGATCGACTCACTGGCCTTTCACTTCGTTTGTCATACATTCACTGGCCCCTCAGCTCGTCTGTGATAGACTCACTGGCCCCTCAGCTAGTCCGTGATAGAATCACTGGACCTTGAGTTCGTCTATGATAGACTCACTGGGCCTCTCAGCTCGTCTGTGATAGACTCACTGGCCCTTCAGCTAATGGAGGCCCGTCTGCGATAGACTCACTTGTCCCTCAGAATCACTCGTCCCTCAGCTCGTCTGTGATAGACTCACTGGCCCCTCAGCTCGTGTATGATAGACTCACTGGCCCTTCAGCCTATCTGTGATAGACTCAGTGGCCCTTCAGCTTATCTGCGATAGGCTCACTGGCCCTTCAACCTATCTGTGATAAACTCACTGGCCCCTCAGCTCGTCTGTGATAGAATCACTGACCATTCAGTCAGATCACCAATCAATCAATTTCTGTAGCAGATCTCTTGAAGATTTTCTATCCCTAGAGGACCCCTCAAATTACTTTTGTCCATAGAACAGCTCTCAAAGGCCTTCTATCTACAAAATATTTCTAATAATTATTCTGTAAACAGATGGACCTCTTTTTACTGAATACAATTTAAAATTATTCTTACACAGTAGATCTCGCAACAGCATTTTTTCTATTAAAGACCTCCCTCTCCACAGAAGATCTCTTATAGGTATTCTATGGATCTTTATTTTTCAGAAGGCATCTCAAAGTTATCCATTACACAAAAGATCTCCCAAAAGTTTTATACCTATTAAAGACCGACCTCTCAAAGGTCTTCCAACTACAGAAAATCTCTCATAGGTATTTTGTAGACTTTGATTTACATCTTAAAGTTATTCTTTAAACAGAATATCTCCCAGTAGCCCTCTAACTATAGAAGAAGACCCATTGAAGATTCTCTATCCATTGAAGATGTCATGAAGGTGTCTATACATCAAATGGCAATCTATCTACAAACGAATCCAAAATGGCTTCTGTCCATTGAAAACCTCTCAAAGGCCATCTTTCTACAAAATATCTCTAATATTTATTCTATAATACTTACTTCTATCTACTGAAGATATCTCAATGTTAGATCTCTCAATAGCCTTGTCCCTATTGAAGACCTCTCAAAGGTCTTACATCCACAGAAGATCTCTCATAGGTCTTCGATAGACCTTTATCTACTGAAAGTTCTTCTTTGAAAACCCTTTAGAAAACCCCTCAAATGCCTTCTTTATATACAGAAGATCTCTCAAAGACCTTCTATAGACCTCTCAAAGGTATTATTTTTTGCAGTATACATATTGAAGATTTCCAAAATCGTTTTGATGGGGTCCTTTATAATTTACCAAATGCCTTCTATTTACAAAAGTGACCCCCAAATAACTTATATAGACCCTTAAGGGTATTCTTTCTAAAGTATACCTATTTTAGATTTCCAAAATCGTTGTGAAGAGTGGGGGTTTTTCATAATTTACATAAATAATTCATAAAAAAAATTTCAATTTTTCTTGATATTTTGCACTTTGGATCCCCATGTTTATTATGGTGGTATTGATTATTTTTATAACCCTCCTTTTGAAAATATTCCAATTCCAGATGACCGACAATAAATCTTGTTTGTGTCGTCGCATATTTCATCCAATAGCCAAGGAGTTTCAAAAAGAGAAATTCAGTTTAAATCATAAGCCGGCAGATGATTTTCTCAAGTCCCAGGTAAACATAAAAACTCTAATAAAATAGAAAAAAATATTAATATTATTAATTATTAAAAATTTCTTATAGTGGCAAACCTCCCAAAAATCCTATTTATGGCCGTTATACAGGTGGGGTCTAGCGTTGTGTTTTAGTGTTGGTGTATTGGGTAGTTTAATACAGCAATGGGCCGATGGTAAATGGTTTATTTATCTGACCGATTGGGGTTTTTTGCTGTGTATGTATATCAGTTGGTTCAGTGCTATATTGGTGACCATATATCATTTTCATCCCAGGTATTTTGGTGAGTTGAATTTCTTCAATTTGGGGTTTTTTGGAAGGAAATAATTTTTTTATTTTTGTATATTTTTCCCAGATAATCGAACTAAGGTTTTGAAATTTTATTGGTGTTCCCATTGGTGTGTTTTGGTTGTGGCAACGGTAATCACATTTATGTATTGGTTGTTTATTTATCCCAGTAAGTATTCTGAACTAGATTGAAAAATTTCACCTAATATTCTTTTTTTTCCACAGCGGACAATGCCAATGCCTCGGATTTGTATAATTTATGGGCCCATGGTTTTAATTCAATATTGATGGTCTTGGATCACATGCTGGTTGCATTCCCCACCCGCCTAATGCATTTTGTATATCCTCTGATATTGGGTTTAATTTATGCCATATTTTCATTGATTTATTACTTCGCGGGAGGCGTGGATCCGTAAGTAAAAACATGAATTACAACTTCAATATTGTTTCTGATAAAAAAAATTTAAAATTTGTAAGAAAATCTATATATGTTTTGAATCATATTTAATTTGATTTAATATACCAATGTAATTTGGGGATTTTGAAGACTTCATTGGCAATTCATGTCTATTTTCTAATGGCGGTATGGGTCCTCATAACTCTCCTTAAAAAAAATTTAAAATTCTAATATTTTTAAATAAAAAATAGTTATTCAAATCTTTTCTTATCTTTTTCCCTTCCTATGTATTTTTGTATGCCTTCCTGTCTGTTTTGTAATGTTTGGATGGGTCCTCACACCTCTCCTTAAAATAGATTTAAAATTATAATATTATTTAAATATAAAATAATTAAAATATGTTCTTATCTTTCTTCCTTCCTTTGTATTTTTTACAGAAGCGGAAATCCTTATATCTATGAAATCCTGGATTGGAGTAGCCCTGGCTGGGCCACAGCAATTACTTTCGGATGTATTCTCTTAGTTATAATCTTTAGTTTTCTATTATTTTGTTTATATAAATTACGGCGTTGGATTTATAACAAATGTATTAACTCGAAAGTAACAATAATTAACGCCTAGAAGAGGCTATATTCCAAAAAAATAAAGTTTGGTTTTTCAAATATGACATTTCATGTTTATTGTTGTGTTTTCTTTGTTTCATTTTCTCGTGGATGTTGTTGATTTTCATATTTTTTTTCTACCAGTTTAATGTTGGTAAACAATGCATAGCTAGTGAAGGCCTGTCTCAGGCCATTTTATTGATGACTGCCATTTGTAGAGATTGAATTTGGTTGGACCATTTGTCGATGGCATTATAACGAGATCCTGTACTGTTTTCCTTATCCAATTGTAAAACTTGATTTACTTGATCAATGCGTCCCTGGATGGTACTGAAATAAAAAACATAACATTAAAAAAAATAAATGTAAAAAAGAAAATCCCCCGAACTCACTTGTCTAGTATGCACGACACCAATAGACTCTCAACTTCGGCCGGTTCAATATTCAGTGCATTGGCAATAAATGGTATGGCTATATTTTTATATGGTCGTATTAATTTAATGAGAACCTGTGTGCGTATATTCCTTAGCAGATCTTCAATGTGTTCTCGTATGAAAGGATCAGCCATAATATTGCTACGATTAGTGCGTAATATCGATTCAAATTCATTAATGTCATTATTTTGATAGGATACCACCAAATTGGTCATGGCCAAAATTTCCGGATCATTTTTATAGGGTTTGGCTTCTTGGGAATCGAAGGGATTAATACCGGATTTCATGAGCCTGCAAGAAAAGAAAAAATAAATTAGGAAAATTTTAGGAATATATAAATCGATTAATCCACGCCTTAAAAAATGAATTTTAAAAAATCCAGGCCTTGAAAAATGAATTTTAAAAAATCCACGCCTTAAAAAATGAATTTTAAAAAATCCCGGCCTTGAAAAATGAATTTTAAAAAATCCACGCCTTGAAAAATTAATTTTAAAAAATCTACGCCTTGAAAATGAATTTTAAAAAATCCACGCCTTGAAAAATGAATTTTAAAAAATCCAGGCCTTGAAAAATTAATTTTAAAAAATACACACCTTGAAAAATGAATTTAAAAAAATCCACGCCTTGAAAAATGAATTTAAAAAAATCCACGCCTTGAAAAATTAATTTTAAAAAATCCACGCATTGAAAAACTATTTTTAAAATACCCACGCCTTGAAAAACTATTTTTTAAAAAATCCGCGCCTTGAAAATCTATTTTTAAAAAATCCACGCCTTGAAAAACTATTTTTGAAAAATTATTTTTAAAAAATCCACGCCTTGAAAAATCAATTTTTAAAAAATCCACGCCTTGAAAAATTAATTTTAAAAAATCCACGCCTTGAAAAATACATTTAAAAGAATCCACGCCATAGAAAATTAATTTTAAAAAATCCAGGCCTCTTTGGTAGCTTTGAAAATTATTTTTAAAAAATCCACGCCTCTTTCGTAGCCTTGAAAAATATTTTTAAAAAATCCAGGCCTTGAAAAATTAATTTTAAAAAATCCACGCCTAAGGTTAGGTCATGCTAAAAAAATTAATTTTAAAAAATCCAAGCCCAAGGATAGGCTTTGAAAAATTAATTTTAAAAAATCCACGCCTTGGTAAAGACCTCCAAAAATGAATTTTAAAAAATCCACGCCTTGAAAAATTAATTTAAAAAAATCCACGCCTTGAAAAATGAATTTAAAAAAATCCACGCCTTGAAAAATTAATTTAAAAAAATCCACGCCTTGAAAAATTAATTTTAAAAAATCCACGCATTGAAAAACTATTTTTAAAATACCCACGCCTTGAAAAACTATTTTTTAAAAAATCCGCGCCTTGAAAAACTATTTTTGAAAAATTATTTTTAAAAAATCCACGCCTTGAAAAATCAATTTTTAAAAAATCCACGCCTTGAAAAATTAATTTTAAAAAATCCACGCCTTGAAAAATTAATTTTAAACAATGCACAACTATAGATAGGCCTTGGAAATTTAATTTTAAACAATGCACGCCTATAGATAGGCCTTGAAAATTTAATTTAAAAAAATCCACGCCTATAGGTAGCCTTTAAAATATTAACGCCTACTGAAGTTCTTAAATTATTCGAGATCTGCTGAAGATATTCTATTCATAGAAGACCTTCTGAAGGTATTTGATATGCGAAAGGAATATTAAAAGACCTCATGATCATCATTAGTGGATACAAAGGAGACCCTACACCCTAACTTTAAAAATTTAATTGAATACTCACATATTTGCCAATACCAAATATTTCAGGCACGTTGTACGTCTCGGCGAACCCGATTCATCGTAATTTTTAAATGCCTCAAAGAAATCGGTATGGGCCTTTTCAAATTCACCCTCACGCAAATGCATTTTACCGCCACATTCGCGAATAACACCCATAATCAGCGGATGTGGGATTGCCGATTTAATGTGCAGTGATTGTTCGTAAAGGGCCTTCAGCTTTTTGTTATTCTTTTGGACGGTATACATTTGTATTTCCAAGGCGTATATTTCCAAAAGTTGTGTACCCTTTTTCAAATCATCTTCACCGTCATCCGTTTGGCAAGACAAATGTAATTGTTTCAGGATTTTTTGTAATTTTCCAAACTCGTTGCGATCGAAATACAATTTTCCCAGTTTCGTATTTGTCTTAAACCACAGGCGATCGTTTTTTGCATCCTTTAAGGCTTCCAAGGTGGTTTCATAAAAGTTTTGTAAAAGTTCCATCTAGAAGAGAGAAAATAAACTGAATTATTTTTTTTCTAAAAAATAAAATATTTACAACAATACATTTTTCGATGTGGATATATAATCTAATATAGAATTGATGGACTTTTCCGAGTGGTTGCGTGTCACGGCACTCTTGATGTAGGTCAATAATTGTTTATAGCGCACCATCATCTCTTCATAGTTGTTCTGCAAAGAAAACACACATTACATAGTTGGATTTCCAATTAATTAATACCTTCCACTACCCACCAGTTTAAAATTAATTTTTATCATTTGCTTTAAGGCCTTAAAACCCCACTCCCCCTTTTCGCCATTCTCTAGGTCCAACACCTTTTGAAAGGAGGCCAATGCCGCCTTGGGATCATCTTCCTTTAATGATTTACTATTGTAATATTGATTTTCCAGATCAACGTCCGGCTCGGAATTACTATCTTCCGAATATTCCTGCAAGAACACACACAAAAACAACAACAATAATAAGCAAACAAATCAAGAAGTGTCATTCTAGAAGTGGCTGGTGCATTAGCCGGCTTTATCTCGAGGCAACCGGGATCTGTTGCATGTAAATCTTACCAATCCATAATCTTCATCATCTTCGCACATAAAATCATCATCGTTATCCGACATTCTGATATTTAGTTCTAAATTGCTTTATAATAGAACAGAAAAAATAAAATTCCTTGCAAAAATTTCGTTTTTAGCAAAGTCGATTATTTTTCTAAAGTAATCGATAACAGAGTTCTTTGTCGGCGCCTCGCTTCATTTCTAACGGCGTTAACTTTGCTTTCTCTTGCAAAGGTGGCTGCCACAATGAAGGCGTATGGCAAGGGCGCACTATTAATTGACAATTCATGGCAACACGCCAATTATTTAATTTTTTGGATTTTGTTGTTGTAATAGGTTGGCAGCTGCCTAAATTTCTTCCTGCAGACATCAATAAAAAAATTAAAGGACATTTCTAATAATTTCTTTTGCAAAACGGAATGTATAGTCGGGGAAATGATGTTACATCTTTCTTTTAAAGAAGAGCACACTATAATTTTGGACTGTCAGCAATTTTATCTCTACTGACTCTCCAACAACCCTGAATATTTTCGTGGTTGCTTTATGAATGAAGAACATAAGAGGCCACACTTTCAAACAAGCACAATTTGATCGAGTGTGTCACTCAAAAGTAATAGTGTGTACACCGCTTAAGTCCTTTTAATTTTTGGTACTTATGGACATTAATACTTTACTAAATTCAAAGATGGGCCCTATCAGTTCTCTTCATTCGACATTTTGCTAATAAAGGGTACACTTTTTTGGGAAATTGTTCATATAATAGTACGTTTACATTGTACCGAATTTATTAAATCTAGTAGTTCTAAATTGTCTACTCCTTTGCAAATATGTCAAATAAATCCTCATAGATCAGGTTAACACACCAAAAAGTTGTAATTTAAATACCATTTAATATGGATTGTGTATTTAAACCGAAAAAAGTAAGTTACAATTATATTGCAGCTACCCGGTAACATGGACCAATTTTTGGTGGGTATATTTTCTATTCATTGAGAATCCAAAATATGAACTCCAAAATATCGAAATTTGGCATGCAGTTTTATATGGGGGCTACCCTAAAAAGTAGATCAATGTTTAGAATCTTAAAGGTCGTTTACATTTAACCGGATTTGGTTAACCCAGTGGGTTTAAATTTTAAATTCCTTTGAATATATGCCAAATAAATCCTCATAAAGTAGGTTAACCCGGTAAAAAGTTATAATGTAAATGCCGTATTAGGTAGTGATATTTGATACTGTATTAGATACCGAAAAACAGCTGATTAAGTCTAAAAAGGTGTCCAGAAACTTAACAATACCGATTCTGCCCTGAAACATAGGCCAACATTGATAATTTTTGGGTATATCGAGGCTACGCTAAAACATGGACTGATATATCTCATTTTCAATACCACACATCCTAGGAGTAATATCAATGTATGTGCAAAATTTCAAAGATCTATCTTCAATATTGCGAGCTTTATCGTCATTTCAACAGTGAGACGGACATGACAAATCTCGATTTTAGAATTTTATTCTGATCAAGAATATACCTTATGGCCAATTGGATATTAGCTGCCTCCCAAATTTTCTGTCAAAATCTATTATTTTGAATTTGCTTCCATTAAGAAAACGTAAACCAAATCTATATTTTGTCATCCGACTTGAGAAAAAACAGCTGACTTTTGCTTACTTATGACATTATTAATAAATCTTGATCAGACAAAGTTTATTAAAAAACTTTTAACGGCGTCTGAAATCAACTGTGTGGCTTTGCTGACGTTTATTGTTATTCGACTTTATTGTTTCGACTTTCATTTAAGCTTTATCTTCAAGTTTTCCTTCGTCTTGTAATTCGTAACGTTTGGAACGCGTTCAGTTTTGATTAGGTTGTCAGAGAAAAACCAATTGCTTTCATTGTCATTATCCCCAAATGTTTTATTAAACAAATATAAAAGATTGTGCAAAAAATTCTTCCATTTACATTCCATAAGCAAAATATAACCTTTAGGAATCTCCAACCCATAAACAACAACAAAAATAAATCAAATATTGATAGTAGTAATAATAATAAAATGCCTGTGCGAAAATATCGTCATGAAACTCGAGAAGTCAGTTGTTGTATGAAATATTTGTTGTTTGTGTGTAACACATTGCTATGGGTAGGTTGACTATCGGTGGGGTGCTGCTTTGTTGGCTTTGTTGTGTGCGGAGTGGAGTACCTGTGCAAAAAATGTTGTGTGTTGGTGTCACGTAAAAGTTGTCTTTTTGTTAATTTTGTCTTGCAGATGACGGGTCTAATCATTTTGGCTGCTGGTGTCTGGGCCTGGAATGAAAAAGATGCTTTTAGCAATCAATTTAAGCTGACGCTGCTGGTCTTAGATCCTGCCTTTGTTTTGATTTGTACGGGTAGTGTGGCATTTCTGATTGGATTTACGGGCAGTGTTGGAGCCTTAAGGGAAAACACCTGTTTGCTGGGGACGGTAAGGAAATAAAAGATATATTTTTTATAATAAATAAAAACTAATCATTTGTCTGGTATTTTAGTTTATAATGCTAATGTGTGTCCTGTTGATTGTGGAAGTGTGTTTCGGGGTCCTGTATTTAGTACTCAAGGATAAAGGCTGGGTAAGTATTGGCGAATAATTAAATTGCCAAACATTTTAAATATTGTTTTTGTTTTCAGATTAAAGACCAAGCCACCGAAGGTCTGCGTGCCTTCATCATCCACTATCGCGAAGATCCCGATCAACAAAATCTCATCGATTGGATCCAAGAAGATTGGCTCCAATGCTGCGGTATTGAGGGTCCCAAAGATTGGGATAGTAATAATTATTTCAATTGTTCGTCGAGTGCCATTGGCAGTCGTGAGGCATGTGGTGTTCCATTTTCATGCTGCCGTCGTCAACCCCATGAGCTGATTAAGAATAAGCAATGTGGCTATGATGTACGCAAGGAAGGCTATGTAAGTTGAGACTATTTTTTTTAATCAGACTAATTTGGAATAATTCTAATTAGAATCCGTGAATGTATGAATTGGTTTAAAAGTGAGTTAGTGGCGGCAAATTGGAAAACGATCATGAGTAATGCAACAAGTGATAAATAAAATGTTCCGAACGGAGATTAATTTGCTGTATGACTTTTAAGTTTTTATACCATGGATCCATGGAGAGTATGACAAGTTTGGCACAGAGTTTTCACTTATTTTAGAGTAATGCCAACAGGGATGGACTGTGACTTATTCGGCAGGGTTAATTGTCTATGATCCCGAGATCGACGTGTCGAAAATAGCTCCGTTAAAAAACCATTTCCTAAGTCTGTCACATATTTCCTAAAGTGCTCTCCTAGACGCTGAGTTAATCGACCTCGTGTCCATCAGTGTTTCACGGTTTGCAGTCCGGATACCGACTTTATTCGAATGGAGCCTTGTTGATACCGAAATATTATTGTCAACATATTATTCAGGATCCGTTGGCAAGTCCTTAACATGATGTGAGGAAATGCCATGGAAGTGTTTATAAAACACCCTCGAAATTTGTTGATGCGGTTGCCTTGCCACCCTCAGTCTCGATAGGCGCAGAATCAAAAATAACTTTAACCTCCTCATCGACCAGTGCTAACGTTTAAATGGGTTATTCTTTAAACCCCATATCATCGAGAGTTATGGTCCCAATCCCATCCCAGAGTATGCCAGAGTATTTTTTAAGTATCCATAAGGCGTGGATAAAAGAATTCTTTCTGCTCCAAGTGAACCCCAAATTTATTAGCATCAATCAGGTCCTTCGAATTGGTCACTGAATGATGAGAAATCCTTAACACCATCTTTTATTGTGAAAAAAACAAGACTGGCATTGAAGGGGACGGCCCCAAGCAACCAAATGTGTCAATGCTGATGTAGTGTCCGACAAGAAAATTTACCGGGTTGTAATTAACTTCTGCATACGGTTTTATCGAGCGGAGCAGGGATTCGACAATTGTTTCAGCTCCAAATGACCCTCAATTTAATTTAGAAGTTCTCATGGAACTATCCGAATGATATTGCGAAGGACTTGTCGATCGAAGGAATACCGTCGTCTTGTTGAGAATGTAGCTCAAATTTACTATCCAACGGTGGAGACAACTCTGAATAGCCCAAAAAGGAAAAAATTCTTGGCACCACCTACCATTGTCAAAGGCAAGGGAGTGTCTATGTCGGCAAGAAGGACAGCACAGAATAAAAAGACTCCAGAAAGGTTCATGGACACCTTTATGGAGTCTTTTTGTCTGTGCCACAACCCCCTTCTGAGCAACAAAACAACATACCTGCGTAACCCCAGAATTAGGATTATAATTCTCCACTGCATTTTATATTTATATAGTTTGTATATCCTGACATATTTTCTGCCCTACTCACTTTTAAACAGAAATAATAATTTTAAAATCATAGCTAAACTTTATTTATTATTTTAAAATCTCCACAAAACATGCTAACGTCTAAAAAAAATGGCCCCATCGATACTACAGCCTGTCGATAGACACATTTATGAACGTGGGTGTTTAAGGGCCGGCGAGGAATTTCTGGAAATGCACATTGTTTCCATATGGATATATATAATGGTGACGGTGTTTTGTCAGGTTAAGAATTAAATATTAAAACAAAAAATAAATACTTTAGATTTCGAATTTTAGTTAAAATTTTGTTATTGTTTATTAAATAATTTATATATTTTTTAAATAATTAATAATTTTAATACATACTTTAGGTTTTAAATTTTAGTTAATTTTTTGTTATAGTTATTAAATAATTTTTATATATATTTTTAATTATAAATATTATTTCTTTAATATATTTTATGATTTTATTTTATTTTTTATTTATGATTTTATTTGATTTTTTATTTCTTTTTTTCTGTTTAGAGTTTTGAAATTGCCAAAATAATTTACGATAAGGGCTGTGTTCAAGCCGGCGAAGAATGGATGGAAAGAAATTTGATTTTAATTTCGACCAGTGCAATTATAGCAATTTTCTTTCAGGTTTGTTTTTTAATATTTATTTTTTAATTTAAAGAGTTTTTAATTAGTCATATTTTTATTATTATTTTGTTAGGTTTTTTAAATCTATTTTGTTTTTAATTTATTCTGTATTATTATAAGAAAAATTCATTTGAAATATCATATCAAAAATATTTTTACTGGTCTATTTATTCCTCTTACAGATTTTATTTGTCATATTCACACAAAATCTTCGTGCAGATATTAATGCACAAAAATCTAAATGGCACTGACAATTGACCAATGGCGTCAGCGTCCCCTAAGAAAGGCTTGCAGCGGTTTAAAAGGGCGTTAAGAAAAAACACAACAACAGCAGCACAATCAAACAAGGGATTTCGATTATAAGAAAAGGTTACTTCTTATCACAAAACGACGGGGTAACTTTTTTACTTCTCATGCTAGAAGCTAATGTAAAGAAAAAAATCTGTTACTGAGTATGTAAGCAAAATTTATGAATTATTTTTCTCAAATAGAATTACGTTGCCAACTTTTTGATAAATCTAATGACACAAAAAATGAAAAGAAAACTCTCCCCCAAGTGAATGAAAAAAAGAATATACACATATACATATATTTTACTATGCATATTTATACTATTTACCTGTATCTTTGTTCTTTTCAAATTTGTGTACCTTAAATGCAACTATGAAACTATTAATATTAACAGTAAGTGTGCGGGTAATTGAAGGCTTGAGAGTTTCGATGTGTGGCTGTTAGAAAAAAATCTCAAATATTTTTTTTCGGAATATATATTTCCATTTCGACGGCATTTATGTACTTAAGCACTGGAAAAAAGTGTTGACATTTTAATAGTATAATGTAATTAACCTTTTTAAAATTATTTATATATTTATTTACTATCCAAGGTTTTCGTTTTTAAATTTTATAAGGATGCTGAGATGATTTTAAGATGAAATTAATCGTTAGGTGGATTTCTTTGACAAAGGGCAAAAATTGTATTACAGTGGAACATGCAAATAATATCAGTATAATCTGAACAGCTATGTAAATCTCAGTCCTAAAAATATAAGTTGAAGACCATTAAATCTAACTATTCTTAATTAAATATCGATCTATGACTGGACTTAGACTCCATCGAAGAGCACACATGCGTTGGATGAGCACGTAATCTATTTAAGGTTACCAAATTTAACTTCATTCGACTATACAACTGGACGTGATGAATGGTTAAGGGCAATTCCACTTTTGTTATCAGAAACAAAGACTCTTTATACCTTACTCCAATGAAGCATCGGATAAGTTATTTAGTTGCCGATCATCAACATGGGTTCCGCAAATAACACAACAAAGTCGAGAACACTTCCCTCCTGTCCAATCCGGAATAAGAACTCAAAAAGTAGAATCCTCCTCTGAACTCGATAAGTCGACTGACTTTAATGCAGCTGACCTATACAATCGCAGCGATAAAAATATTTACCGGATAGCAGTTAACTTCTGCCACCATCAAGAGGAATAATAATTTGAATCTCAAATTTATATAGAAGTTCCTACAGAACTATCCGAATGATATTGCAAATGACTTTTTGATTGAAAGAATTCAGACATCGCCTTTGAAGGTGGCTCTCCTTAACACCCCAGCGACTTAATATAGGCGATAGAGAATTATCAGGAGAAAAGGGGAGAAGAGAAACGTATTTTCTGACAAAAGAAGAAAAAACAAGACAAACGTGAGTGTGAGCAAATCGAGATGTACAGGAGTCAGAATGAATTCCGGAAATTTTATCAACGAGTAAAACACCAAACGGATTGCTTTTGTGCAGGCACATCTTCCTGTACAAATGAAGAAAGGCACCTTTTGACAGATACAGACAGCGTGCTAAGGATCTGGAAGGAGCATTTTGAAAAGCTTCTGGTATCATATAGTAGCGGTGAAGAGGATACCCCAGAACCAATAATAGGTAACGGTATGGAGTGCATACCACTTAGCCAAGATGAGGTCAGAATTGACCATTGACCAGATTTTCACTCTGCGCCAAATCCTAGAAAATACCCACAAAAAACACATCGACACATATCACCTATTCGTTGACTATAAAGCCGTATTTGACAGCCCTATCCGTTCAGAGGTGTACAAAGCCATGTCTGCGTTTGACATTCCTGCAAAATTAATTCGGCTATGCAGGACAACTTTAACTGTTACAAAATCAGCAGTTAAAGTCGGAAAGGACCTCTCGGAGCCCTTTAATGCCGAACGAGGTTTCGTATAAGATGACAGTTTGTCGTGTGACCTTTTTAACATCCTGCTGTAAAAGGTCATACGAGACGCAAAGGTGAACAGAAATGGCACTCTGTACAACAAACAACACATGTTACTCGCCTACGCCGATGACATCAATATTATGGGTCGAACAATGCGAGCGGTAACAGCCACCTTTGAACAAATTGAGAAGGAGTCTGCCAAAGTGGGTTTGGCAGTAAATGGCGAGAAAACCAAGCTGATGGTATCAACGCGCAAGACTTCCAGTAGACTCTGACCAACTGTTGAACTTGAGAACTACAGCTTCGAGGAAGTTAAAGATTTTATATACCTTGGTACCGCCATAAATAAAACGAATGACATCAGTTTTGAAATTCGGAGAAGGATTGTGATGGCCAACAGATGCTACTATGGTCTAAGTAAGCGGTTTAGAAACAAGGCCACCGTCCGCCAGACCAAAATCACACTTTACAAGACGCTGACACTACCCGTGCTGTTATATGGATCTGAAGAATGGGTAATTGCGCAATGGCTAGTCCATGTTGTGCGAATGAATGAGAAGGCTCTAGGTTAAAAGGCGAGCCTACTGATGGTTCCCGTAGAAGGGGAGGGTCACGAATCAAATGGAAAGACCAAGTGAAAAACAACATCTTGGAACGTGGTATTTCAAATTGGAGGAGATGCGCACAAGACCGACGTGCTTGGAAATCTTTTTTAAGCTCGGTTAATAGAACAACCGTTCTGTAAAAAGCCAGCTAAGTAAGTAAGTAACATCCATAAAAGCTGCTCGAAAAATATTTTTAAAAAATCCACGAATATTATTATTTCTGGAAAATTATTTTTAAAAAAATCCAAACCTATAACCAAGTACGTATTGTTACAAAAACTACAATGTTGCCAAATCAAAAACTTGTTTCCAATATGTTTTAAGTTCAAAAAAGGCCATTAAGAAACCCTTAGGAGTTCAATGTCGTGTTTTTAGAATCTCCTTACCGAATACTCACTGCCCAATTTTATTTATATTTATTATCATATTTATAGAAAATACCTATTACTGCCAATATAGTATAATCCTTATTATTGAATCTCAAATAAGCCACTCACACCCACAAAACAACTCAAGCCTTCAAAAGCCGCAAATTAAATCAACAAAACCTGTTAACGCGCCTATCATAACTAAGCTTTATATTTAAGTCAAATCTATATATAAAAAAATACTTTCCAAGTCAAGTCTTTTTGCTACAAATTTGTTTTTTTGTTGTAAATTTTTGTCAATACCTAAATATTTTTCATTTCCAATTTGCAAATTAATCTTGAAATGCAGCTGTGATATAAGAAAACAAAACATAAAGACAACTACTATCTGTTTCTGTTTATTTTAGAACTATCTTGCAATTATAATAAAATGAAGGAAAATAAATAACTGAAAAGAAAAAATTAACTTAGAAGGGAAAGTAAGCTAATCAAAAAAAGTCTAGGAAGTAAAATAAAAAAAAAATAATAATTAAATAATAATTTATATCATTACAAAGCTAAGCAAAAATCACTCACATACACTAAAAATCTTGTCATATACAATTTATATATATTTCAATTCAACAAGTCAAATATGTATTTACAATTTATAATATAATTATTTTATAGATATAATTAATTTTTGTGTGGCAAATCTTATAGTTTTTTTTATTGTATTTTTATATAAAGAATTTATTGAACCATGTACTGGATGGAGGAGTATTGTAAATCAAAGGCTTTTTGTTGTAACAAAAACAAATCAGTGATTTAAAACCTCTTGGAATCTCCACCACATGACTGTATCTATCTAATCATGATTACGAAACAAAAACAAAACAAATCACAAGTCTTTCCAATATAAAAAAATTAATAATAACTCAAAACTTTTATTTTCAAAATCTTCGGATCAGTGAGAGCATAAAAAAATTAAAGAAAACATATTGGGATCTTTTTAATATCTTACTCTACAATTTCAATTATAATATTAAGGATTTTTTGATTATTTCCTATCACTCCACTTTGTGTTATAGATTTTTGTATTTAGTGCCAACCGATAATTTTAAATATTAAGCAGTTCATTACTATTTCCGATCACTCCAGCTTGAGTTATACATCTTTCTATTTAATCCTAACCGAAGATTTTGAAAATTAATTAAAACAACAATTGATTTTATTTGTTATAATTTTAATTAGATATAATTAAATTTTAAATAATGCAAAAAATAAATATTAATAATTAAAAATATGTAAAAAATTATTTTTAAAAATTTTAATGTTATATATGATAATTTTTTAGTATAAAATATTGTAATATAAGTGCACAATTTTTTGAAATTTTTGAAATTAATTTGCAAATATTGCTTTAAAAAATATTAACAAAAAATACGTATTTAAAATATAGTTTTTGGAAATCAACCACAGATATTTTCGGGAAGAAAAAATGTGAAGAAATATCATTTCTTAGATTTTCTTTTTCCTGTGTAGACAGTATACAATAAATCTTTTTGCCAAAATTTTCAAAATTAGTTTATTAAATATTACAATTTACAATAAATATTCAGTATCGAGCCTCTCAGTTCATCTCATCATTGATTCAGTCAATTTTGTCTAGCCTTCTATTGATTTTTTTATTTTGCCTATATTTTTTCACACAATTTATTATCTCAACATTCCAGTGAAAGGTCAGTGAACTTTTTTTTTTATCATTAAAGAAATAATTCTTCCAAAATTAGTTTTAAAAATTAAATAAATAATCTCCTTAATTCTTTATAATTATAGTCTATTTTCTTATAAGAATGCAGCTTTGTATATTCCCATGTGTATATTGTATGTTAAATATATTTTTGCGAACAATTTTAAAAATAATATTAAAAAAATAACACATAAAATTAATAAAAATAATATTTTTCCATTGTATTGCCAAGTGTTGATTTTTATACCATTGGAGTATAAAAAATAAATTGTATCAATTAAGTCAAAATAAAGCCAATAATGCTAATAAGAAACAAAAATGTGTGT